GCGCCCGCGGCCCCCTCCCCCTCCCCCCCCCCCCCCTCCCCCCGCCCCGAGGGCTGGGGCAGCCTGGGCCCGCTACTGCCACCTGCCCCACGCCACCAGCTCCTGCCGAGGAGCAGCCCGAGCTTTTCTCCCGGCAGTGAGGCTGGGTGTCCGGCCTGCCGCGGGCTCCTGGGGCCCCAGCCTCCGCCGCTGGTATCTCCCGTGCCCCGGCCCAATTTTTGGGCTAGGCAGAGCAAAAAAACCTCCCCTTTTTTGCTGCTCCCCCCGTGCCCCGTGTAAGGAATATCTGCCTGCTCAGCGTGGGCAGTTTTGGGTTTTGGGGGGGGGTGAGGTGGGCGCCTGGCAGTGCTCGGGCTTGGGGGAAACTGAGGCACAGAGGGATGCCTGAAAGCAGTGCTTGGGCCCAGCTTAATCCAACTGGCACCCGGGGCAGACAGGACCCACAGACCCAGGTCCCATGGGCACCCAGGACCCCCGTGCAAGGGGGACAACAGCACTCAGGACCCCTGCTGTGCTCAGGTCCCACAGGCACCCTGGACCCACAGACCCAGGTACCACAGGCACCCAGGAGCCTGTGCCTGGGGGGCAACAGCACCCAGGACCCATAAAGCCAGGACCCACAAGCACTGGGGATCCCCATGCCAGGGGGCAACAGCACCCTGGACCCATAGACTCAGGTCCCACAGGCACCCAGGAGCCGCATGCCTGGGGGCAACAGCATCTAGGACCCACAGACCTGGGTCCCATGGGCCCCCAGAGCTGACGGGCACCGGGGACCCACATGGCTAGGGATCTAGCACCTGTGGCAGGCAGGGCCCCAGGACCCATGCACCCAGAGCCAGTGGGACACCTAGGACCCCCAAGCCCAGGTCTCACAGGCACCCAGGACCCATATATCTGCAGGAATCAGCACCCAGGACCCACGCACCCAGGACCAACAGGCACTGGGAACCCATTTACCCAGGGCCAATGGGGCACCCAGAACCCCTGTGCCCAGGTCCCATGAGCACCCAGGACCCATGTACCTGGCAGAATTGGCACCCGGGACCCCTACACTCCAGCCAGACAGCACCCAGGACCCATGTGCCCCAGGGTGGACAGGCACAAAGGACCCATCCGCCTGGGCTTGCCAGGACCCACGTGGCTGGGGGAAGTGGCACCCAGGACCCATATGGCGTGGTTGAAGGTCACCCATGCACCCAGGGCTGAGAAGACACCCAGGACCCACGTGCCGAGGGCTGTGTGGGGCAGGCACAGGCAGGCCGTGGGGCTGCTGGGGAGGCAGTGGGGGGTCTGGGGCACAGGGACCCTAAGCAGGTGCCCCAATCGTTGTTATCCCTGATCCCGTGGCCAGCACCCACTGCATGGTCCCAACCCTACCACCAGCACCCATCCCATGGTCCCCAGCCCCATGGAGAGCACCTACCCTGTAGCTGCCAGTCCTGCAGCCAGCACCCACCCCTTGGCTCCCAACTCCACAGCCAGCACCCACCCAGCGGTCCCAGCCCCACATCCAGGACCCTAATCACAGTACCTGTCCCAAAGCCAGCACCCATCCCATAGCCTCCAGCCCCACAGCCAGCACCCACTCCTAGGCTAGCACCCACCCCATTCACTGCAGCCCAGTGATCAGCATCCACCCCATAGCTCCCAGCCCCCTGGACAGCACCCACCTCAGGGCTCCCAGCCCCACAGCCAGCACCCAGCCCCCGGTCCCAGCCCCCGGCCCCCCATTGCGCGACCAGCC